GTGCAATTCAGAGCACTGTTTGTTACCTTTAAAACCCTACATGGTCCAGGTCGTGATGTATCGGTATCACAATTCTGGAAGTTGAATCTGAGATCTTGGGAAGAGGGTTTTTAGAGGCTCTGAGGAAATGCCACCTCCAACCCTGCCCCTTAAGCTGCCAAAGTCTCTGATAGTATAGCACATATAAATTGTAATAAGAAAAAAAAATCAGTATGTTTTTTAAAACATTTTTGTGATGTTTGCCACCTGGTTTCTTAAAAAATAAATTGGCAGGTTAGTAATATGTCTTCACAGCTATATCTGCCTTATAGGAATAATTAATTTCATGACATTGATTGATAAAGCCCATTACATGTATCAACTATTCTTTTTTATAAATGCAAACTAGGTAACTGAAGCATTAATGGTTTTTCTCATTATAGACATAACAGTAGCAATAGCACAACACATGCATTCCTTTTGATATTGCTTGAATAATACCTTGCTGAGATACACATGCTCTTGATCTCAAGTGATGCACTAAAAATGTAAAGCATAATTTGCATTTGGATAAAATTAACCTTGTACATACATTGTGTGCATAATTATTAGGCAAGAGAGCATTTTGATCCTGTAATCATTTTAATGCATATTTTCCACCTCCAAGCTGTATAGACTTGAATGCTTAGTGGATATAAGCATATCAGGTGATGTGTATTTGTGTAATGAGGGAGGGTGTGGCCTAAGGAGATCAACACCCTATATCAAGGTATGCATAATTATTAGGTAGGCAAAATAGGCTAAAAAAGAAATTTAACTGACTCTGAAAAGTCAAAAATTGTAAAAAGTCATTCAGATGGATGCAGCAGCACTCTTGAAATTGCTAAGATATTGGGGCATTATCACAGACCCATTAAACATTTTGTTGCAAATAGTCAACAGGGTCGCAAGATACATATTTGGGAGGTGGGGTGGGGAGAAGACACACATTAACTGTCAAAGAGATTTGAGAAGAATCAACTGTGAAACTGCCAAGAACCCATTATAGCAATAGCAGTTAGACTTATATACCGCTTCATAGGGCTTTCAGCCCTCTCTAAGCGGTTTACAGAGTCAGCATATCGCCCCCAACAACAA